TTGGCAACTAAGTAATTGCCGATTTCATTTATAGATGTCTCTCACTCCCATTTTTATGTTATCCGTAAATGTTATATTCTAAAATTATTATTATTATTATTATTATTATGTTATTTCTTATTATCCGTGAATGTTAGCAACTGGACAAATTGAATGCAGCGGTCAAGGAAAAGCGACCAGAATTGGTCAATCGTAAAGGTGTCATTTTCCACCAGGACAATGCTAGGCCGCACACGTCTTTGTCCACTCGGCAAAAATTGCTGGATATTGGTTGGGTATTGATGTTACACCCACCATATAGCCCTGATCTCGCGCCATCGGATTACCACTTGTTTCGATCCCTGGACAGCTCCCTTCGTGGTAAAACTTTTAATGATGATGACGCTGTAAAATCTCACTTAACTCAGTTTTTGGCCGAAAAGGATCAGACTTTCTACGAGCGTGGAATTTTCAAGTTGTCAGAGAGATGGCAAAAGGTCATCGAACAAAATGGAAAATACATTACAGATTAAACTCCGTCCCAAGTAAAAAAAATTTTTTATTTCATTGAACAAATCGACAATTACTTAGTTGCCAACCCAATAGATCATCTGGGTTAGAAAATATAGGAGAGGGAATGCAATAAACGTAGAGATTAATAATTTACAGAGATCCAAGGATCGCATAAATCGAGCAACGTAACACGTTTTCAAGGTGTACCGCCGTAAAAGTATAATCCACATTATCGCCCATGAACTGGTTGCCGGTCTGGTTTCGAGTTAAGGGTATGGCAATGGCGGGTCGAAGGTCGATTACATTCGTCTTGTAATTCGTCCTTCGGCGGCTTGCATCCTAAATCGGTAATTCCTGCCCGAAGACGCATAAAATTGCGGTCAGTGTCACCCTATGCACGACTAACGACCCTTTATTATGCGGGTCGTCTGATCGATTCGGAGCTGTCCTTAAACGATAAGTGTTCTGTCGATTATAAATGAGCTGTTCCAATTTCTTTCTTTCTTTTTCTTTTTTCCTCCTACCCGAAGGCTAACTCGTCCGAGGGAAAATTGATCGCACTTAATCACAGTCCTGACGTAATGTGTAATCAAAAAATTATAAGGAAACCGTTATGCAGTATTAATCGTCGTTGTCGCGCGGAGTTTACGAGTTTGCTTCATCAGAAATCGATGAATCTGTGCTAACTGACCTCGCGTTTCATAAGGAACAACAATCTCATTTTATATTTCGTTTTCTACGTTGCAGAGCGCCAGGATGTCAGATCAAACAGATACAGCCTTCCTGCTAATATTGACATCGCTGGGCAGAGTAACATTCACAACAATGTTGGCAAAAATAATTCTGGGTATGTATATTTACAACAATTTATGCGAAGAGCAAATAATTCTTGCCAGTTTTATACATAAAAAATGGCACAGCCTTGTCATGGACGGCGGTGACCACTCCAATAATTTGTTATTTATCCACTCCAATGTATAAATGAGAGATTGAACTGCTTTCTTTCGATATTAATAAGGACGTGATACTATAATACTTTTGTATTTTTTTTTCAGCATGAAAGAAATTCATTATCCATCTGTTACACGTAATTCGTTCGGCAGATATGCTGCTGCCAGACCACCTTGTTCCATGGCAAATGTAAGTACAACCCCGTAGGATAATGTGTCGCCCTTAAAAAATAGTTTAATCAAATATTTAAATTTATTGTAAACTCGATACTAGAAACACTACGTGTTTAAGTTCTTTTTTTTATTAAAATTATACTTTTACTGTTTCCTACTGATTGAAACAGTTAAAAGGATTATTTTAACATATTATTTTAACACCAGATATATGTAATCGATAATAAATCAATTTTTTTTATTATAAATAATAATAATTATTATTTTATTAATTAGTATTGTGTACTGCTATGCAGACGATCTAAATTTAAAAATCTTTGACATTCGTGCAATGTCCAGTAGACAAAAGCTAGCCCTACAAAAACTTTATATTTTGACTTGTTTAGATAATAATCGTCACACTTGCATCATTTTGATTTGAAAGTTATAACAAAAATTAAGTCATTAATAATTAATAACAGTAACACCTTAATAAAGAAAAATATTCTAAGTTTTAATTCTTCTACCGCAACTTACAGTATAACTCAACTAAAAACCGTATTAACGCTTTCTTTTAGATAATTCATAACACAACGGTGCTTGGTCCATCCGCAGAACGTACTGGGTGAGTAATGATGACAGACAAATCAGATCGTTGAACGATTCTGCAAGCTTTAACGCTAAACTTGCCAAGCCAGTCGTGCTCGGTAAGTTTAGTGTTAGATTGATTAGCTATTAATTCCTATGTTCGTACCTTGAAAAAGCGAGCCCATCGCGGGAAGCCTGACATTTAAGCTTTAATTAATTTCTCCGATAACCAGAGTAATAAGATTTTAAACAAATAACTTATTAACTTATAACTGACAGGTTATACGATAGTATTAAAAATTTAATATGCTACGCTGTAAATCAAGTTAACCGTTCCTAAGATTTCAAAACATTCAATCTGATCGTAAAAGGTGTTTAAGAAAAAGATGATTAACACGTTAATGCTAATAAAAGCGGCTTTCACTCTTCTTACATTGAATGCGTTCACGGTACCTCTTGCCAGAACATATTCAAGTGCGTGTTAAATGTTACCTGATGCTTCCATATTTAACTGAGTTTTAATCGTTTAAGTTACACGTTTGTTGTTCGAAAATATGCAATGGTTGTAAAGTAAGAATTTCGTCAATTAGGATCTCGATGATGAATTGTTGTTACCTTCTAACTTTAATATTATATACATATATATTTAATTCTCTAAATAGGTATAGAAGGATAGATTTTGCGTCTTTCATTATATCAGAATGGTGTATAAGACTATTGTTGTAAAACAAGATTAATATTTAACAAATTGTAAATGTAAAATGCAACTTCCATTGTAGAGAAAGGATATCAGAGAATCTTAACGAATTTATTTATATTGCGATTAAATTATATATTTTCATATATTTTTTCTTTTTTTTTAAATCCATATCTTATTTAATTATTCCGAATCAATTAATTGTCACTGGAATCATTTTTATTTTAGCAATATCTTTTTTTAACGCACAATTTGTTAAGATTATACATATTATTGAATTATAATTCGCATGCGTGTATGTGAGTATGTATGAATGTAATGTGTATATGTATATTATGTATTGTGATATGTATTATTATTTTTAGCTGTTACTTGCACCTGTGCATATCAGTAAAACATTTTCATTGAATGCTCAGCATGGATTTATATTTACACCCTTTTCATTGACAGATATTGAGCAAATCCGCCCTGAAACACAAGTTCATTATCCCTAAAATCCTTTGCACACCAACAACATCTCCCTTTTACATTCTTATTTGGGCAGTAAGTAATTTCACTTATATCACATTCAAAAGCTCTGATTATTGCATGACATAATTACAATGAGAAGCATAATTGAACCAAAGACCCTAACTTTTTTTATAGGAATTACTATAATTCTTTATATGAACTTATGAAAAGACATTAATATTTAAAAATATAATATAATAATAATGTAATGAATATAATAATAAATAAATATAATAATAATTTATATATTATTTTATATAAATGTAAATTTATTAATGTTAAANTTTCACTTATATCACATTCAAAAGCTCTGATTATTGCATGACATAATTACAATGAGAAGCATAATTGAACCAAAGACCCTAACTTTTTTTATAGGAATTACTATAATTCTTTATATGAACTTATGAAAAGACATTAATATTTAAAAATATAATATAATAATAATGTAATGAATATAATAATAAATAAATATAATAATAATTTATATATTATTTTATATAAATGTAAATTTATTAATGTTAAA